CATTGCCTCTGATTACTGCCCTCATTTTTCTGTCGGAACATTTTTCATCCATGTAAGAAGCCTCCCTGTCACTCCGCCAATGTGTTCTAGTTTCCAGAACAATCTCTTACATTCATGTAGTTCATCTTGAATGTCCTCTATGGGAATGCTCATATCAACTGCTCCAAATTTGATATAACGAGTACTTGACTGTTTCTTTTGTATCAATACTTGATGAAACTAACTGTATAAGCTCTCAGTTTTGTGACTTTTGACAGTTATAATTGCAGCAGAGTCAACAACACTCTGAAACAGAGCTTCAATGCCACACCCTTTCCAAGGATTCACAATATATTTGTTAGACAATGAGCCACCAATACTGAAACCTTCAATGCCCCACTCAAGATTCAAGGATTCATAAAGACACACTGACCTGTTACCAATTTGATGAGAATAAATATTTCCTTGCAGTGTCCTCGTGAGGTGTAGAGGCCCACTTCATGTTCCTGTCCGAGATAGAGTCCTCTGCTTTGTTGTCCAGTGAGCATTTTGTAGGTGATAACATTTGGAGGGGGTCAGTATCCATGAGACCCTCACCATGTACACCCCTCCATCATTAATGTTGCCCACACTCACATAGATACACTGATTATCCTTTAGCTGTTAATAGTGGCCGTATATTGCTCCAAACAAATTTCAGTTTGAACACATGCCCTATCAGAAGAATAAGTACTCAATGTCCTTGCTGAAGAGAAGCAATGTAATTCCTTTACATATTGCACGCTTCCAGGAGAGGTGTTGATCCGGCTGCATTTGGTAGGCAACCCTAGGTTTGGGGTTTGTGCACATATAGCATGTATACACATGATTAAACAAAATATAAATTGATATCGTATCAAAATGTGATTCAGTCTCATGAAGACAATCAAGACACACATGTTTGGACTAGTATATTTCATGATTCAAACAGGGTGGTGTAGTGGGTATACACAATGTGATGAGTACACTGGGTGTGATGAGTACACTGGGTGTAATGAGTACACTGGGTGTGATGAGTACACAGGGTGTGATGAGTACACTGGGTGTGATGAGTACACTGGGTGTGATGAGTACACTGGGTGTGATGAGTACACAGGGTGTGATGAGTACAGGACTCAGTAGGCCCCAGCTAGAATTATTCATCATCCCTGATATAGCAGAAGGCTTCTCAAATTGTCCCTGCTGGACCTTATATATGGAAAAGAAGGAACTTAAGAATCCTGAATTCAGCCCTGAATGACCTCAGAAGGTATATAAACCTCTTCCAATGGGGTTTATATAACTTTGTATTTCAAAGAGACTGTCAAGTATTGGTGGGCTACTGCTAAGTACTAGCCCAGAGTTGATCACCTGGTTGTTATTCTCACCTGCCACCAGATGAGAGCACTGGAGGTGTATACTGAGGGTGCTGGTGATCCTTATTACTTTCATCCCAATGCACATACCTAGAAAGGCACATGGCAAGAGGGAATAAATGGGATGGAATAGGAGAGACCAAATGACTTGGTCAGAAAAGGAGCGTTTCATCTACACTCAAAGCCTTGCTTCTATGTTTAAACCACACAACCATGCCTTTAGGCAAAAAACCAGTGTTGAATGTAATGAAATGCCATTTTCTGGGTGAGCCCCAGAGGCTCCCTGGAGCCATTAGCAAATCATTAAACCAGGGCATTAGTCTATGGGGTTCAGCCTACCGGGGACCACATGCCAGAACCTGGCCCCCTCAGAGACGCGCAAAGAGCAATGGCCCTGGAACCCCCCCCCCCTTGTGGTTGGGGGTTTTCCTTATCTGCCATTGACCAGAGTTAGGCACTCAGAAAGATAGGCATAACAAAACAGACCTCACATGGTAAGAACATTGCAACCGAAAACCAAACAGAGGAAGAACTCCCTCCAATCCCAAGGAAACAAGCAAACGTCACACTTCATCGCCGAGTCGCACATCCGTGCAGGAGTGTGCGACATGACAGTAATGGCAGTCAAAAGGTGCCTTCGAAAATAAGAGTTAAAAAAGTTTCATAATGTTAATAAGTAAGACCTGTAGAGATGACCACATCACAAATGCATGAACAAACCCTAACTGTTCATGTGCAGCCTTAACTCCTTAGCCTGGGACCAGATCCCAGTGCTCTCTACAGGTCAACTGAAGGGACATCTCAAGAGAAGAAAAACCCAGTGAACTTACAACTGAAATGGTACAGAGAAGATTACTCTGTAAAAATGAAGAGTCACAATAATGTGGCTGAAGATATGATGACCAAACCACACATCAGAAAATGAAGAAAGTATTTTTTTATTCTATTTTATTTATATATACAAAAGTTCTTACATTCTTGTAAAGCCACTAGCATACATAGCGTTTTGGGCAGGTCCTAAATCCTAATTTTTCCCGGAATATGATCCACTAAATCGTTTAACAACCAGGTACCCATTCACTGCTGGGTGAACAGAAGCTACAGTTAAGGATTGGCACCCAGTCAATCCTACCCGGCCAGGATACAAACCCAGGCCAGAGTGCTCGTGAAGCGCCAAGCGAGTGTGTGTTACCACAATGCCACAAATGATGATATTTTAGTCCGAAAAGTTTAGAAACATCGTAATTTCTTCATTTTCTCGTGTGGTTCAGTCATCATTACTCTGTAAAACCAATTCAAGAAAGCAGGAGAGTAATTAGCTTATCAAGATACCTAGTTGCAAGAATGCAAAAAATAACAATACATGTACCTGTATTATGTAATCTCACAAACCCATTTATTTCTTATAAATAAATAAATATATAAGATAGCAATTTTCTTAGCTAAAATAAATTTTGGGCTACAATTCCTGTAAACTTTTCCCCTACCATCCACAGGACAAGTATTGAGTGCATAATAAATGGATAAAATATGAATCAATCAATAAGTTTTTGATGTTGTAGTCGTTTTAGTTTAGCTGATAAATTATGCAGCTCATATTTCTCCTGTGAGTATGTACTGTACTTTAGTGTATCTTGGAATCCAGGAGTAACAGTACAAACCACACAGAGCAACATGTAAATGGGCTAAAAGACTGGGCTCCAAATTTTGTTTAGCTAGGCAAGCTATATTATAGAAGAATTTATCTGAAGTTAAAAATATAGGAAGTAAACTTATTTTATAATTAATTCCTGGATAAGTGACTCTATATATTTGAAAGTTACACATTATGACAATAATTTTGTCTGAACTTCTTGCAATGTTAAATATAATTAAAAGAAACCCACTTAAACATCATTTGAAGAAATGCACATTTTACTCTATAAAATTGTATAGCAATTAATTCTAATGTTTTATTTTAGTAAATCTATTGTCTTTGAAGATGAGAAAAGTAGCTAAAACAAGCTAAGGCTCCTGTATACAAAATGATACTGTGAATAAAGTTGTTATTCGTGTACAGAACTGGCAATAAGCAAAGCACCTATTTATGATCAATTAGACCCACTCATTAGGCCTGTGGTGTCATCTGGTGGCAGGCAGAGGTAGCAACCAGTTGATAAGTCTCAACTAATACTTGCAGTAGCAGAGCAATACTTAGCAGTCTCTTTGAAATCCAAGTACTGTACTGTACTTTATACAGACAATAAGTCACAGTAACATGGCTGAAAATAAACACTCAACTCACAAATCTGAAAATATAAGACTTTTATGACAATTTGGTCCATCCTGGACCATTATCAATACTGGGTTGGGTGAGTGCCCAAGCACCTTATAGTATGGTGGGAGGAGATTATCAGAGTATATAGGTATTTTCTGAGGTCATTCAGGCCTGGATTCATGTTTCTCCTGTACTTTCTCCTCTTCCCATACATAGCTTAGTAGGGAAAGTTTTACAAGACTTCCCCACTGTGTTTGGGATGATGAAGGAAGCACTAACCCTAGCTGAAGGCTGCTAAGTTTTGGTGAAGTGGTATGTTACCTAAGGAAATGGCCGAGTGGTTCAAGCTCAGAAATGCAGTGTATGCAACCTCCAAAAAATGTGTGAGGCCTCTCCTTAAAGCTAAGTGCGTGTGTGGCTCCTCCAATAATGATTTCTCCAGGTAAAATCAGGTAAATCAGGTAAATATTGTAGTGGGTGAGAGGCAACTACAAAAATAAAATGAATGTGAGGTCTCTCCAATAATGTAGTGAAATTGGTGAGGTGCAAATTGTCTATAAGAATACAGTGAGTGAGTGAGAAGCATCCATAAGAATATAGTGAGTATGAGGACTCTCCAAGAATAATAGCAAGTGTGAATCCACTACAAAAATATAGTGAGTGCAAGACCTTTCCAGACCAGTGAGTGAGAGACCTCTTAAAAAATGCAGCACGAGTCATCAAAGAATATAGTGAATGCAACGCCTCACCAGTAGTGAAGCGGGTGCAGAGCCTCTCTAAGATACATGGAAAGATATAACAAAGGAGATCATGAATGATACTTCACAGACCATATCAATTTTGGGAAGTTACAAACCTACTGAATGGTGACTTTAAGGATGAGTCTAACGGTACCTTAATAACTACTCAAAATTTACAGAACAAAGCAAATGTTAAGCATACATGGCAAGACCAGCATACAATACAAAACTTATGGGGAATGTTCTACTCTTAAAAAAAAATAGTTAACCAAGATAAAGGCCACTGATCAACATAACCAATATCATTGGTTAAAACAAATGTTACACATTGAAATTACTATTACAAACAGTGAATTACAAAAACACAAAAGCCAGGGTGTAACTTCAATAAAAGGGGAAAGGGGGGTAGAGTCTTCATAGGCACACTCTCCTTAATATCTAATTCTGTGGATGGATTCTGTGAAAAACAATCTCTTAATAATGAGTTTCTATAATTTTGTTATCAATAACAATATATTTTTCCTTCATTTCTTACATTGAGAGATTAAGCCAAGCTAAGCAAGAATAGAGTATGCCTCAGCACACCAAGTGAACTTGTGCCTACAAGTCCCGGTACCACAGTGACCTAACCTGACACGACACGGAGAAGCGACCCAGCATCAACTGCCTCTCCCGACGCTGAGTCTCACGCTCCCTCCTTCTACGCTCCTTCTCATCACTCCAGTTCTTTAAGGTGCATAGGGACGAAGAGATGCATGGATGTTTGGTTAGCAGCCATGCAGGCTTAGCAATGATTGCATTCAGGAGATATACAGTCTCTACAGGTTAATTTCAAAGCCATGAGAATAAAAGATCTTTGTACATGTATGCCAAGAATGAGTATACACATTTAGTATTTGTTATAGGTACACTCAAGACCTGAATTCATCTACTGTAATGGGATCTAGCCTCAGAGCAGAAGACATTTATAGAGAACCCATCATTTGAACAGGAAATAAGAACTGTATCTTTAATAATGGGTCACATAATTATTTTTATTTTCACCATGAAAAACACTAAACAACTGCTCGTACCGACAATATGGAATGCACAACCAATCAGGAATGTATATTGCAACTAACATTCATAGTAATAGCACAATAATAATAATAATAATAATAATAATACTAATAATAATAATAATACACAAGCAAATCACAATACCATGATTATCTAATATTATTAATAATAATAATTACAATAAAAACAAGAGCAATAATCAAATAGAATAATCTTGGGGTACACAGTGTAACTAACACTTAAGAGATAGTAAAAATCATGCACTAATAACCATGAACCTCACTTTCAAAAATGTCCGCAAAACATCAAAAGTATTCTGTATATATATCATAGTGAATCAAAATGTAATTTCATAGTATTTATTCAATAGTCTTCATACTCAAAGGGGGTGGTTATATTTTATTGCTCCACGTGTTCTAATACAATTCCATATGCAGTATTGTACTTTAAAATAATTATAATGTTTGCCTCTAAAATGTTTAGGAGACTTATTAATATAACTTTTCAAATAATTATCTGTGCTATTTACATTTATATTTGATATCTGATCAGAGATGCAAATCTCCATAAAGATTTCATAAGATTAGACAAAATACTTTTCTTTTTCTTGAAACTCAATATAATAACTCCAGAGGAACAAATTTCTATTTTTCTAAAGCCTTCGTGCAGTTATGAAAAATAGCACAAATGCTTCTAAAGATATTCCTGTTCCTGTAGGGCTGTGTAAGGTGCTAGTGTGTCACTGAAAAATACTTATTCCGTCAAAGAATGAATGGCAGAGACTAATCGTATATTGAAGTACAGTACTACAAAGTCCCTTTCCTCCCGACCCTGCCCATCCTACCTCCAGCTCCACATGCTCAAGAAACCCTCACACTTCCTGTGTTTCACGTCAGTTGGTAGGTTGGGGTTGCTCAAAGTAATTTCTTCCATTATTCCACTTATAGATTGGATTTTTGCATCCTGTTCAAAATCCAACTGGATAAAATCTTAAGGAATAATGTGGATACTAGAGAAGGTGGCCCCTCACATAAATTCAAGCAAATTCAGGAAATTTAAGTACAGTATAATGTTAGTGTAGTTACAGGATGTAACCTAAGTGTAGTTACAGGATGGGAGCTACGCTCGTGGTGTCCCGTCTTTCCTGTAGTCTTTGTCATGTGACAATTTGAAACTATTGATGATTTTGGCCTCCACCATCTTCTCACTTATCTTGTTCCAACCATTTACCAATCTGTTTGCAAACGTGAACCTTCTAATTGTTTTTTTCTGGCGGCTTTGTTTCCTCAGCTTGAACCTATGTCCTCTTATTCTTGAATATAGTTTTTTAAATTCTTCTTTGTCAATTTTGTCAATTCATGTTACTATTTTCCATGGAGTGATCACATCGCTTCTTTTTCTTCTATCTTCTTGCTTTGGCATATTTAACACCTCTAGCCTCTCCTCGTAGCTCTTGCTTTTTAGTTCCTGATGTCATTTAGTAGCATGTCTTTGCATCTTTTCCAATTTACTGATGTGCTTCTTAAGATATGGGCATCATACAACCGCTGCACATTCCAATTTTGGTCTCACAAACATCATGAACAATTTCTTTAATACACCCAGAAATCACAATAGCGTGATATATCAAATGAACAAATCCACATGGGCCTTGATGAGGGTTCAAACCTATGCACGGGATGTTCCCAGATGCGCCTCAGTCAACTGTACCACGACATGGTAAAAGAATTGCAACCTGGAGTCCTACTGCCCCTCACAAGGATCCCAAAGCTTCTCCGAAGCACAATCGGGGGAATTGTGTGAAACTCCGATTGTGCTTCAGAGAAGCTTTGGGATCCTTGTGAGGGCAGTAGCACTCCAGGTTGCAATTCTTTTACCATGTCCTGGTACAGTTGACTAAGGCGCATCTGGGAACATCCTGTGCATAGGTTTGAACCCTCATCACGACCCTTGTGGATTTATTAATTTCTTTAATATTACCAGCCATTCAGCCAGCTGCACCATTCCTATGATTTAGCTTGTAATAAACAAAAACTAATAAAAGTATGACTATTTAAAATGATTTCTACTTTTGCTTGGGTTCAGTGGACACTTCTGAATTTTTGTCAGGGAAAAGTCACAAAATAGTTTGTGGTTTGTAACATCAAAGGTCAAATGGAATAACTAAATTCTTCACAATTCCTTGGCTGCATATTTCATTATACTGTACAGTATTTGTATTGTAGTAAGTGAGCAGGGTTTGTTGTGACGCTTGAGCTTCTTACCTGGGTAGTGTAACTGGGAAAAGATGGAGTACTTAAGAATCTCTTCATGATCATGCATACAGCAATCCTTAATCCATTGGGAACTAAAGAGCATAACAGGTAATGAGGTAGCTACTACCAAGAGTGCTGCAGGCATGGGCATCACACAGGACACAATCAAACATGTCCTTATGTGTCAAGTGTAATTTGTTGTTGCTACACTATTACACCCAATTACCAAATTTTAAAGTCATTTAGCTAAGAGACAACATACTGCTCCCTCAGATATGCATTACAAGTAACATGGACTCTGTTACTCATTGATTTAATGATACAATTCACTGTAAATGAAGCGAGTATTAGACATTCACTGATTTTATAACCAGCCACATACTTTATAGCTAAAGCAAAATAAGAATAAATCTTATTCATGCAAGATGGCAATTCAAGCCCGTTACTATTTACAATGAAACATTTTCCTCGCCCATATTGTAAGAAACATGTAAACCTTCCACAAAAGACCACCTTCAAAGTGTTCATCAGAGATTGAGCCCACAATAAGGTGTTCTAAGAACTTTCTTCAGTTGTAGTTACTTTATATTGAATTTTGTGAGGAAGAGGATTTGTTGATAAAACTTATACTGAGATAAACATCTCTCTTATCCCCCTCTCTCATCCCCAGGCTAAAAAAATCATCCTTATACAGTGATCTCCATATACTTGTTGCTGATCTCAACTCCTTTGTGAGGAATCGAGTTCCTTCACAGTACTACAACAGAGATCTACAAAATAAATACCATGTATACCACATATTGATGCTATCATTAACAACTTTTATTAAGCAGTTCAGTTTAAATTGTTGGTGTTATCCCTATTAAGATGGTGGGATGAATTTAAAGGTAAAATTCTTCAACTCTTGTTTGGTATTTTGAAATAAATGTTCCTTTATCTTTCCATCATCAGTTAATAGGTTAGTCTTCACATTTGTGTGCACAGTGCAGTTCCTGCTCTGCTAATCCTCCTCCTTCAATATATCTTTTTCATATATTGAACATATATGGTTTTCATCCATTATTTCCTACTGCCATAAAAACATTCGAGCTATAATTTCAAGGTGTAAAACATTCAGCTTATCACATATATTTTCATATTATTTACCACTATGTCCACCAAGTTCGCTCTTTGAACCAAATCTCCAAACTCTTTTAAACTTTGTGTGAGAACTTTTAGTTCTAACATATTTTCTTTATCGACAGACTAAGGTATGTAGTACGGTATATCACACTCTTCTATACTTCAAAAATATATTTCTCAACCCTTATCACTTATTTTAGAACACTGACCACAAGCTACAAGCAAGAAATGCCTTTAAGACCAGTAAGATGCTCGACTCCCTCTGACCTTCTCATTAGAGTGCTGTACAAGGTACACAGTGTCTCGGGGAACACTTTACCAACCTTTCAATCACACCATTATTTATACACAAAATATAAGATAAATTAACTTATATTTCATCTAAAACAAACAAAAATTAAATATCTGAACACTGAGAATATTGAATATTTGTTTCTTAATGATACATTAGTTAATTTATATTAATTTTTGCATGTAAATAATGTTACATGCAAAAAGAAATAAAGAAATAATATATATACTGTATTATATATATATATTTATATATATATGTATATATACACACACACACACATATACATATATACACACATATACAGTAGAACCTCGGCATTCGTATGCCCCTGTTCTCGTAGTTAATTTCTATGAAAAATTTGATTCGGTAGTCGTAGTTTGCCTCGCTGGTCATAGTTTCTTTATACACGTACGGGGTCCATTGCAAGGGTGGCACTTTAGTTTACTGGTGTCTCCCGCCTAGTGATGGTCGTCCTTGGATTCTTTGTGAAGAATTTAATTGTTTTTGTGCTTTTTTTGGTTTCTGAATATAAAAGTTTTTATTATATATCACTTCATGAGTTCCACGAAAGTCAGTGGTAATGTTCAACCTAAGAAAATAGTTGTGAGGATGACGATAGAGGGAAAACAAGAGATCATTCATAGTGAGACAATGTGATGTCTCATTATAGACAAGTGTTAAAATGTAGGGAAAAACAGTGGTACCTCCATTTACAAATTTAATTCGTTGCCAGAAATAGGTCGTAACTCAAAAATTTGTAACTCGAAACAAATTTTCCCCATAAGAAATAATGTAAATTTATTTAATCCGTTTCACACACCCAAAAATATTAACTTCAAAATACATTTTATACATAATACACATACACATTTTGTACTATAGTATGTACAAGTTATAGCTTATCTTTATTGATGACTCTTGTTGGTGTATGGAAGATGGTGAGGCTGGGGAGAGGGGGAAAGGAGGAGAGGTGTTACTGTTTGGAAGGCGAGTCCCCTTCAATTATAACAGCAGGCAGTGATGACTTCTCTGGGGTACTCTCTCTCCTATGTTTTGCAGGCATACCACTAGGACCTGCTTGTGGCTCACTGCTTGCTTGTCTTACTAAGAATCTGTCTAAAGACACTTGTTTTTCCCTACGTTTTAACACTTGTCTGTAGTGAGACATCACATTCATTCACTATGAATGATCTCTTATTTTCCTCTATGGTCATCCTCACATGTGTTTTCTTAGGTTGAACCTTACCTCTGATTTTCTTGGGACCCATCACATGATATATAATAATTACTTTTATGTTAAAAAACACAAAAACAATTAAATTCTTTACAAAGAATTCATGCATGATCATCACTAAGTGCAGGCGGTCTGGTAAACTGAAGCGGGGTTGCCTGTGCCACCAGGAACCACGCACTCCTTCAACCCATACGTGTATCAACAAAGTCGCAAGTTGAGGCAAAGGTCGTAAATCGAGTCGAATTTTCTGACCAAATTGTGGTTGTAACTCGAAAAATTCATAAGTAGGGGCATTTGTAAGTCGAGGTTCCAATGTATATATAAGATGATCTATTATAACTACCCTATGAGTTCCTATTATAAATACAGTATCAGCAACTATGATCAGTGCAAGCTCTTATAATAAACATACCATCTATTAATTGCTTTATCTTGCAAAAAAAAAAAAAAAAAAGTCCATATTTTCATTATCAAGTAAAATTAGTAACAAACAATGGATGAGCTCACCTGGACAGCATTTTTCATTGAAGTTATAATATTAGGTTTCTTCGCAACACGTGACGCATCAGACTTGGAGCGCGGTCGTCGGCCAATATAATCAAAAAATCCTTGTGATGTTTCCTTCTTTTTTTCCTTCTCTTTAACAGCTGTGTTGAGAACATCGTCTCCAGACTTCCGCCTCTGCCTTGCTGCCACTGGAAGGTACATAAGACAGCTCTAACAATGATCACAAGTAAACACTCATGAGAAAGTAAACTAAGTAAACACTCATGAGTAAGGGTAGAAAATAATAGTAATAATAAAAAAAAAAAAAACTCATGAGTAAGCACATCTCTAATGAATATCATCACAAAATAATATTCATAGATACTCAACCATAATGAAATATATACAGTCTAGCAATATAGTGCATGTTGTGTTCTTCTATTTATATTTTAATATACAAGTTAAAAAATAAGAAATGAGGATAAAATAAATGCCAGTTGATCAGTTTGATACATACTGTACATACATAAAAAACCTTAGTTGAGGTGAACCATCTTTTTATAAATAAATAATTTTATTTGCAGCACATTACTATAATTCAATACTGTACTGCATTACACACTATGCACGGAAAAAAGGACTCTACCACACATTTATATTATATTCACAGTTACAGTCTCATATTTACATATCCATCCCATCTGGGCAATAATTGTGCAGTGCTGATTATACGCTCCTATTTGCATTGGGTTGTCGGCACTGCTGCTTGCTACTGCTTGGGTTTCCCTGGTAACAAGACAAGATGTGAGAGAAGGAGGTAGGCCTCTAGTTTCTGGCCAGGATGCCTAGAACCATGCATGAGGTGTCATTCTTGGGAGAACCTAGTATCTTTTTTTCTGACCCTTTAAACTGTTCACAATCAGCCAAGCCTTGAAATTATTGAACAATCTCTTCAACAGTCATCTACTATGGCTTCTCAAAACACCAGTGTAAAGGAGGGATCTTTATGGGAAATGTTTTATGAGGAATATGTGATATAATGGGTGGGGGTAGAGAAGACACTTTTCTAAACAGATTTGTCTTCTCGCTTTTGGGTTACTACTTTAATTGAGGACTTTTTTCTAAGATGGCTTTTTTTTCTGGCTCTGGCTTTTGAATGTTGGGATGGGGAGCTCCAAACTCTTCACCAGTAGTGTCGTTTTTTGTGCCTTTGTGGCAAGAAACATTTTTTCCCCTCCAGCCCTCTCTGTTATTTTTGGCTAAGAATGAAACTTCTGGTTTCCAGAGAGGTCCATTCGTCACTGATGCTTGGTTTGATCTGTCCTGTTGCTGCGTCGTGCAGGTTGTTCTTCTGCCCCGGGGCTCTATTTTAATGCTGTCTTCTTCCATGGGTAAACCTTGGTTGCCTCTGTATGTTTACTTATGTTCATTTTATGTTTAGCAGCTCCTGAGCTGCCAACTCAAAAATCTTTGGATATAAGGTCTTCAATAGCTTCCCTTGTCCCTGCCATATTTCCTCTTTACCTAAGGGGTGGAGGAATTTGTCCGGGCAGCTCGAAGTGGGTAAGAGAGCTAGTGGGGCCTCTGGGTGACCTGGGTCAGACACAACATGGTCAGAGTGTTTATTTTGCAGCATCTGTCATTTATCTCATTTTCTTCGGGTACCGAATTTTCTTCGAGTAGTTGCTTGTTATGCTGCACTCATACGTTCTGTTGGGGATTTTTCTCAGTTTTCGGTTGATTCCTTATCCCTAAGCTTCCTTACCTTGTCGAGAGCCAGAGTTTGGTGGTGGCACCCGGTATGCAAGGGTGAGTCCTAGAGGTCTGGTACTCAGCTCAGGAAGCTAATAAGGATCTTCCACAAAGGAGCATTTCATCACATTCTATGCTTGATTTTTTAATTATACATCCACAAAGAAAACAGCATAATAAGATACTAAGATAGGCAATACTGTACTGCATAATAATTTTTTGATAATTACAAATAATTTTTAGAGTTAAGTTTATGAAATATTAAAGAAAATATGATGCCATATATATTTAGTGTGTTATTATGTCATGTTGTTTATATTTTCTATAATACAATATTATATTTATTAGTAAAATTTTTGTCCGTTTATCAATTACGAATTATCATAATCAAATTACCGCACTGATGGCCACAATTGAAAATATATAAATTTGCATTCACTAAACAAATTGTCTCTAATTCTGTAACATTTTCAGATAATAGCACCATACAGAACAGTGTTTTCAAATGATTATCATCCTCAATAATAATTGGTGATGAGTGGGAAAACATATTATATACAGTATACATCATACACTACAGAACTAGAAAATGAGTATTAGTATAAATACTGTATAAAACTTGGATCTTATTTCTTTAATAAAAATGTAAAAGAATTTGGTGACATTGGGGCTGTATGGAGTATCACATACCATGCGGTACATTGTGTGAAGCATGTTTATGTAACAATAACAATACTTATTGTAAGTAATCAAAAGACGAACACTAACATGCTTGACACCAATATGCTCAATCATTTAAGGACTCATCTTCCAGAAACCAATTGATTTAGAGTACAGTACTAAATATTAAAAATATATATTAAAATTTTCAAAGCACCATACTGTATAATGGCATATCACTCATATATAATGTAAGCAGCTGACAAGATATCCACTTTCATTTAAAAACAAGCAATATATGCTATCCCTTCATAATTTTCACTGTAGACATTTTTAATATTATACCACATGCTGTATTATGTTGAAATAAAATATAAAAATTTGTTAAGAAATATGTTGTGACAGTATTGGAACCTTCATTAAAAGGACAGTTAACTCATCTCGCTGCTCACCACCACCCACAACAGTTAACTCATCTCACTTCTCACCACCACCCACAACAGTTAACTCATCTCACCTCTCACCACCACTCACAACAGTTAACTTATCTCACCTCTCACCACCACTCACAACAGTTAACTCATCTCACCTCTCACCACCACTCACAACAGTTAACTCATCTCACCTCTCACCACCACCCACAACAGTTAACTCATCTTGACCAGACCACACACTAGAAGGTGAAGGGACGATGACGTTTCGGTCCATCCTGGACCATTCTCAAGTCGATTGACAATCGACTTGAGAATGGTCCAGGACGGACCGAAACGTCGTCGTCCCTTCACCTTCTAGTGTGTGGTCTGGTCAACATACTTTAGCCACGTTATTGTGACTCATCGCCTGCAGTTAACTCATCTCACTTCTCATCACCACCCACAACAGTTAACTCATCTCATCTCTCACCACCACCCACAACAGTTAACTCATCTCACCTTTCACCACCACCCACAACAGTTAACTTATCTCACCACCACCCACAATAGTTAACTCATCTCACTTCTCACCACCACCCAGGAGCCTTAATTGATTCTGTAATTACTTTGTTCTTGGTTTCATCAGTGGGGAACACACACTGTGTGAGTGCCAATATTTCATCAATGATAACACAGAAAACCTGCATGGATAATTTACTGACACTGACTGATTTAAGGCATTGATGTCAAGGCTTTTAACAACTCACAAAATGGCTTTGATGATGAAGAAGCCAATTTAAAAACCCTCATGCAAAATCTGTTTTTTTTAATATGGATAATGAAATCACAATAATGTTATGTACCTATGAGAAAAATATTGAGGCACTGTGGTGATACAGTGCAGAACTTGCATCTGTAGACTCCTCAGAGATACTTTTAAGCTCATCATGGCCAAACGAGTAGTGTGTGAATCTGAGGAGTTCAGAGGCATGAGTTCAATCCCAATGCATTGCCTCAACATTTTCTCATATATATATATACTGCATAATGATCTTCCTTGCAATATTGCTGATGACAAGATGCATACATCAAATACAGTATAGCAATGCAATTTTTATATACAGCTTGCCTGAAACATTAGTTGCACTAGTTAGTTTAGCAGATAAATCTGAGAAGAAGTGAGTAAGCAGTGATAGATGTAAAATGTACTGCTTCAGCAATTATTGGCAGGTTTGGTTAAATAGTTCTAAAGCAACAAAATTCTATAATCCAGATTTAGCAAATCTAATTAATTCATTTAAATGCAATAATTGGCTAATTACATATAGCTCTGGCATCTGACTTTGACCGAGGCCTGAAGGAGTCAAAGAAACCCTGTGGGCCGCCCTCCTTACGACGGACACTGGCAATGTTGCTGGTGGCGCTAGAAGTAGCTGCTAGAATATCATCTCCTGATTTACGACGCTGACGGAAGGAGGCTGAAATAGTGTGGATCAAAACAAAAAAGTTGTACAGAAAATAAGAATAAAAGTACAGTATACAGAGGAGGGCAAGCGTCAGTAATGATAACACAAAAGATAAAATATACAAACACTCAAATCTTTCATGGTAAAACAGAGACATATATTTAAAGGTAAAGTAAATACTCAAGACAAATTTAAAGGGAAACTAAAATAGACAAATTTAAAAGTAAACTAAATGGACATAAATTTAAAGGTAGACTAAATGAACATAAATTTAAATGTAAACTAAATAGACATTTCAAAAACTAAACTATATGGACTTAGAACATATTAAAAAATCAAACAAAATTATATATATTTAAAGAAGCATAAATTAAGATATGCACAAAGAAAGAGCCAATCGCAACATAATCACCAATACACATAGTGAAGTAGTACTGTAATATACCCGCTAAACACAACAAAACTACGACGTTGCCACAATGATCAAACATACGGTATTGTAAAACCTTCTAACAAGTTGTAACAACTTTCTAACATCACAAAAACTTTATAACAAGATGTAACAACTTTGCAGCAAATTGTAATAAGGTAACAAAAGGGACCATTACATTGTGTGTTTGCAGAGAGTACTGTGTGTTAAGATGCAGTTATCAACAAAGTATACAATACAGCACTAGAAAATACAAAAGATATGCCAGGTCTAAATCAGAAATAAAATAAAAATTTAAAATGAAGTTGCCAAGAATTTATTGAATGTTCATTAAAATTTAATTACGATCTCGTTTCTACACTAGGTTGTTCTATGCGGCAGAACAATACATTACCTATGTTTCCCAGCCATTCTCATGTCTACACAACTCCATGCTAAATCATACATTCTAAACTATAAAGACCCCCCCTTAATATTATGAAGCCAAGGCAGTTTTATTATCATACATATCTAATAGTTTAATTCTGCTCCAACATGTCTATGGATTTGAGGGTTTTGAGCTGGTCACTAAGGAGCCAGAAGGACCATGCCACCACCAAACCCTTCCATAGGGCAGCAAAACATCTTGTAAAGCCAACAGAAAGACACATCATTGATCATCCGGTCCACAGTGATGGAATGGAAATAAGAGTGTGTCTGTGAGCATGGAAAACACACATTGCACAGAAACTGCACAGAGCAGCCCCAAGAAGCCAGAGGGACCAAGAAGCATGAGGAGCTGTTGCATAAGTTGCAACTAGCACATGACTGAGTTAGCTAGCAATGGTAACTAGCTAATGAATGTGTACCTAGTTGTCAGGGTTCCCAATGTTTCTCAATGCAGTTGTTTATTTTGGGTGATGGTTACATTTCTGATGGCTTTTGCTCTTGGATTGGGTTGATCTAGTATTCCTAGACTCACTTTGCCTCTGTTGGGTGGACCAAATTTTGCTTGTAATTACCTAAGGTGTAGTTACAGGATGAGAGCTACGCTCGTGGTGTTTCGTCTTCCCAGCACTCTTTGTCATATAATGCTTTAAAATTACTGACGGTTTTGGCCTCCACCACCTTCTCACCTAACTTGTTCCAGCCATCTACCACTCTGTTTACAAAAGTGAATTTTCTTATATTTCTCCGGCAGCTTTGTTTTGTTAGTTTAAATCTATAACCTCTTGTTCTTGAAGTTCCATGTCTCAGGAATTCTTCCCTATCAATTTTATCGATTCCTGTTACTATTTTGTACATTGTGATTATATCGCCTCTTTTTCTTCTATCTTCTAGTTTTGCATATTTAATGCCTCTAACCTCTCCTCGTAGCTCTTGTCATTCAGCTCTGGGAGCCACTTAGTGGCATGTCTTTACATCTTTTCCAGTTTGTTAATGTGCTTCTTAAGATACCTTAAGATCTTGTGACCTGTGCTAGGAGCTTATGACTCACAACAGCCCTGGTGGGGCCTAGCTCAAGGAGCCACAAAGAGGAAGCCCTTCCACATAATTGCCTTTATTAATAAATTTTCTATCCAATAAAGATCTTTAACTTAGGTATGTATTAGTGTTACAGTATCACTGATACACATAATACACAAAAGAATTTAACTTCACCTATCTTACACACCTTGATGCTCTGTAAGAACTACACAGCATCAAGGCCCTTGTGTGGCAGTGCACAGTAGAAAGTTGTTTTCACATATCCATACATTAAAACATTGATTGTAACCATGATATATATGTGCTTCAGCCTACAGTTTAGACCTATTGTCTTATGTATGACCCTCTGTCCTGCGTGACAGCAAATACCAGCATTATCCTCACTTTAATAAGACTATCAAAATCCTCAGATTAGGCAAAATTGTAATTAATTTTGTCAATAAAGATGTTAATAATAATAATAACACAGCATCAAGGATATACACGCACCACTATGGCCCCAAAATCATTCACAGCAGCATCGTATCTCATCAAAAGGTCAGGTGTACAATACTTCTCATGAATTATCACATGCAAACATACTCTGTCCACTCTCATTTCTTGCTTCCTTACACATTCACTTACAATGTTTGCTCATCTTCTCAACAAGCCTTTCCTTTTTTTCCTTGTGCTCACTTGAATGCACTCGCTCTCCACTGGTTTATGTTACATTTTAATTTCTTACTCTATATATTCTCCTGATACCACATATGCTTCTTAAATTGGACATTTCAGGCACTACTGCTACTTCGTGCAGCTGTCTGGCTGTATTTCTTCCTAGTTCTACCTAACCAATACATTAAGTGCACCAGTCACTTTCCTTCCCTTACTAATGCTACTTTCAACACTTTGTACAAATTCCTTTTTTGTCAATCACTTACAGTATTTTTTATTCACATAAATTTGTTCACACACCCACACACACATCCCGCAGAGTTCAGTTCCTGCACCAGTAATGTTTATCGTCTACATAAATGATCTACCAGAAGGAATACAGAATTATACGAACATGTTTGCGGATGAAGCTAAGATAATGGGAAAGATAGGAGACCGACACAATTGCCATGGCCTTTAAAATGGATCTAGATAAAATAAGTGCTTGGAGTGACATGTGGCAAATGGAATTCAATGTGAATAAATGTCATGTTATGGAATGTGAAATTTGAGAAAATAGAGCACACACAAATTATAATTTATGTGGAAAGTAATTAAAGATCTCTGATAAAGAATGAGATCTAGAGGTGGTTTTGGATAGTAAACTGTCACCAGAGGAATGCATAAAAAACATTGTGCGAGGACGGTATGCATCACCTTCCAACTTCAGACTCGCTTTTAACTACATGGATGGTGAAATACTAAAGAAACTGTTCATGACTTTTGTGAGACCAAAACTGAAATATGCAGCAGATGAATGGTGCCCATATCTCAAGAAGCACATCAATAAAGTGGAAAAGGTGCAAAGGCATGCTACAAAATGGCTCCCAGAACTGAAAAACAAGAGTTGCGAGGAAAGGCTAGAAGTGTTAAATATGTAAAAACTAGAAAATAAAAGAAAAAGGGGTGATATGATCACCACTTACAAAATAATAACAGGAATCGACCAAATTGACAAAGAGGAATTCCTGAAACCAACAACTTCAAAAACAAGGACACAGATTCAAGCTAAGGAAACAAAAGGACAAAAAAATATTAGAAAGTTTTCTTTTGCAGAGTGATAGACAGTTGGAACAAGTTAAGTGAGAAGGTGGTGGAGGCCAAAACCATCAGTACTGTAGTTTCAAAGCATTACTGTATATGTTTCAAAGCATTACTGTATATGACAAAGAGTACTGGGAAGACGGGACACCACGAGCGTAGCCAACATCATGTAACTATATTTTGGTTATTACACACACTAGGAAAGACAAAGAATGACTACGTACTCTTAGCAGTAAAATACGCAATATGGTATGACGAAAGACAACAGAGAAAGTGAAACAACAAAGACACTGTACTTCCAGAAAGGATATGGGATGAACAAATCAACAAGGGCCGTGACAAGGGTTCGAACCTACGTCCGAGAGGATCCCAGATGCTGCCTTAATCGACTGAGCTACGAGATGATCAAAAGAATTGCAACCAGAAGTTCTACCAGAGGTTCCAACACTTGTCACGGCCATTGTGGATTTGTTCATTTGATGCATCACGCTATTGTGATTTCTGTATGTAATGAAGTAAGGGAGAAGAGGTAGAACAGCTTATTGATAGAGCTCGAGTGTATGGGGGAATTGTGTAAAACCCTGGTCTCGGAGAGGCTGCAGGATCCAAGTAAGTTCAGTAGAACTTCTGCTTGCAATTCTTTTGAATTGCAAGTTAGTTTAGCTTGTTTAGTAATAATATACCATTATTATTCTTATAATGTATAAGTGTTGTGTTGTATATACATTAATCCAGCAACAGATCACCAGAGGTGTAGACTAAGCTACCTGTTGTGGTGGGGGAATCGCTTCCCTGTGCCTGTGTGCCACTGAGCAACCTGGGAGCACCCCAGTCGTACCACAGGTTGAATCACTATCCGTGACCTGGCCTTGCACCCGTGGAGAGTGGAGAAGCTCAGCCTTCTCTCTCTGCCATTTCCAGCTGAACTTGCCCGACATAAACTAGTGATTCCCACAGGTGAATCTTACCATTCACCTATATTTGGTGACCACCAAGGTTCGAACCCTTTCACGAGGAAGAGTTTTCCAAATACAATTGCCTTGCGATTCATGCAAGTATATTGTACATCTGAAGCTCACATTTTCCTTAGATAAGTGAATTGGTTTGATGAAATTGAACTGTGATCTGTGACCACCAAGTGCTGACGGGTCGTTGGGGATATAGCCTCGGCTAACAATGACTTTTGAACAGTCAGTGTGGTCAGGTGGTCAGAGTACTGGACTCGCCAGTGGGTTTTCAGCTCCTGGGGGGGTCTAAGGTTCGAACCCTTTCATAAGGAAGAGTTTTCAAAATACAATTGCTTTCGGATTTGCGGATTATGCAAATATATCGTGTATACAGTACAGTACATACAAATATATATATAAATATATAAATA